GCTCAGCTGTTGATTAAAAAAGAGCTGCTAAAAGTATAAACAACTGTGTTAAATCATTTATCCGCCCCAACCCCCAGCGCACTGCAGTGGTATCAGATGCGGGTTTGAAGTAAGCATTTTAATTTGTTTTCAAAATAAGTCTGGCACTTTGGAGAAAACCCAGGACTCACTGGAGGGATCATGTKRCCCCTCTGGTCTGGGAACGTCTCGGTGTCCCCCAGGAGGAGCTGGAAAGTGTCGCTGCGCAGAGCGCGGGGTCTCTCCTGCTTCTCTACTCTCTCTTCTCTACATGTTTATTGTAATTATTTCTATCAATAACAAGTTTTTTCTTTTTGTCTCTTTTCCAGAAGTAGGTGCACCTGAACCAGTTCTTCTGTGTTTGTCTGTGTCCCTTTCCTGTCCTCCAAACAGCCGGTCGAAGCAGATGGCCGACTGTCCTGAGCCTGGTTCTGCTGGAGGTTTCTTCCTGATTAGCAGGGAGTTTTTCCTCCCAACCATTTGCTCAGGATGGGAGACTGTGATGAAGTGATTCAACACAATCTGCTGGCTTCTTCTTTAGATTGTTCTTTTTATTTACAGTGCCCTGAGAGAACATATGTTGTGACTTGGAGCTATATAAATAAACTGAATTTAATTGAATTGAATAACATAGGTTACTGTTTGCATTAATGCAAATCAACTGTMAACTCTGGAAGTCATATAATATCTGGGCGTAAATTAACTTGTGTAATGCAAAAGAAGCTGGCTAACTTTGACAGCTAACCAACCCAGAACATAAAGATAAACTGTTTAAAAGGTAGGAATTTGTACTTTGCCAGAAAAGAAAATAGTGTGATTGTTAATCAGTAGAGAGATTTTAAATAAATGAAAATCTGAAAAATGATTATACCCAGCACAGCGCCTGCAGCAGGAGAGACTTTAGTCTGTCTGAACCTTCAACTAGGTCTTTCTTCAGCTTCTCATAGTCTAATGAGGGCAACATTGGCACTTCCTTCAATCTCCTGGAGATTAAGAAAGAATGGATGTCAAATATGTTTTAGCATCACTGTACAAAATAGTAAAAAGAATGATAATAATAATAATAATTAAGACTTACTGTGGTGCAATGGATGCTCGCAGCATAGAGGAAGCCTTAAACAGAAAGCACATTTGAGGAGACAAATTGTTCATTTTACCGTTTTTAACTTTTGTAGTTTTCATAAATCTTTCTTTAGTGTGTACAAAACAAAACCCATACTCTGATGAGTTTTACTGCCTGATTTTCCCCCCAATTTGTTGCCTCCACCTAAAGACCCTGTCACGCTATAATGTTTTGCACAACTTATGCCATCTTGTGAAAATTTTGTTATGGCTAAATTACTCATAGGTTATATATTCAGTTTAACAGTTAGCATTACAGTATATGTCAAAAAGAGGCTTCTAGTAGATTTATTTATTCCATCTTCAGCGTAGACATCATTAGCTTTGGACAAATTTTTAAAAAGTTAGCAAAAGTTGTCTAAAATGTTATAGCATGACAGGGCCTTTAGACACATAAGTTAACAATTATTTAATGATTAGTGTTCTATGAGACATGCATACATCATGCTCGATACATGCTTACTGTTTTWTTTAATTGTCCATGCACTAAATCCGGCCAAGACCCAAAACAAAAAAAAGGTGTGTTAGTATTTCTGTAGTTATTGCACCTCAGTTTAAATGTACAACAGACTTATGAAGGTACATTTGTATGAAGGACCAAAACTAACATAATTAAAAATAAAAGCAGAAATATATAAATAGACCAATAAATAAAAAATACACTTAAAATGCACCAAATAAATAAAAAAGAGAAATTTACATCATGTTTTATAATTCAATAAGCCATCATATTCTTCCATATTTACTGTGCTTTGGCTTCAACTTTAGTTTAAAACAAAGGCAAGAAGGAAAACACCTGTGCATTTGTTTTAAACTAAACTTTACGCTAAACTGATATTATCATTTAAGGGACACAAATGCTTTTACAAGTAAAATGGAAATATATATATAACAATATAATGTAAATGTGCTAAAATATATAATTTTTTAGAACTAAGCAGGAAAAATAAATGCAACGGTCAATTGAATACAAAAACATGATGTAAAAGTTCTCTCTTTTTTATTTAATTGGTGCCTTTTAAGTGTATTTATTTATTTATTTACTGGTCCATTTATATATATTTGCTTTTATTTCTAATTATGTCAGTTTCGGGCCTCCATACTTTTGGGGGGAATGGAGGCTTTCAAAAGTTATAATAAAAAAGATGGCGATAAGGTGTGTTACTGTAGAAAACAACATTTTCCCCTCCACCTACAAAGAAACCTGAGCTCTGAAAAACAATCCGAAGCCCGAGAGGTTATCCTTATAAAATGGTAGTAAACAGTCACTCTCTTTGGAAAATGATTAATGTAATCTAAGGTATTAGTTGATTATTGCTCGTTGCTGAAGGCAATAATGTTTTCTGCACTACTCACTAGAAAAAGAGAATAAAACTGTCCATCATTTGCTACTTTAAAAGTATTTATTAGCACTTTATTTTAAATTCAGTTATTTTAAAGACAAAAATATTTGTAGATATTTGTACCAAAGAGAAAATAATGGGATCAAATATTGAGGTCATGACCTGATTGATAACATGACCTGCCACTATTACATGTTTGACCTCAAGGACTCCTGTAAATCACACTTAGGAATCATTCTGTCTTTTCAAATCACTGTAATTTAAACCTGCCTGTTTGACAACCTGATCCTAGCCAAGCACCTAGTGTTGGTCACGTTTCTGTTCAAGCTAATCGCTTTCAAAAAAAAAAAAACTATGCCAAATGACAATAAAAGGAGATAACTGAAACTTTGACTATAAAAGACAGACAAGCTATAAGGAGAGTCTAGAGGAGGAACAATGGCTATAGTGTTTGGGAACAATTGAATATAATTACGGAGGTGTGCTCAAGGAGGCATTCTTATTCTGTTTTACAGAAATGCATCTCTAAAAACTAGGACAAAAAGTCAGAAAATGGACTGAATGGGGTTAGGCAAAAAAAGAAGAAGGTAGAGGGCAGACATAAACACTACAAGATATGGAGACAGTCAAGAGACAGCTTGATACAAGCAAGATAATAGGAGCAATGGCAAGAAAAGCTGAAAACTTATCAAACTTACATAGACATCATCACAGGGACTCATAGAGTAATATCCCTTTGTTGATAAAAGCATCACACAGAAAACACACACAGAAAGGTTGTTCATTTCAAACTGCAAAAATGTCAGATTTGACAAACCAGAATTCAACAGTGCATCAAAGATTACTGAGAATTAACTTTTCAAAATATAGATGTTTTCTTTCAGTTTACAGTATTTCTGAAAGCTTGGTCACTTCTTAGCTCCTTTGGATCAGAGGGGCTTGCTGAACCACAGTTCCATCTTAGCTGTTCTCTGAGGTCTGACAGCAAAGATGCCTCCTCTCAATAACAAAAAATTGGTTTCAAACAAAATGAGCACTTAGCTGGTATATAACCAACAACCACTCAAGCCAGGAGGATGGGGTGGAAAATTTGTTGGGGGGAGTAACAACAAGAGATTAGCTAATGGCTTTGTTTAAAGAAAATATGGCAAAGCAGTTGTGTGACTCCGTAATCTACGGAGCCCGCGAGGGAACATGGGAGATTTTTTTTCTTTTGAGTTCCCATGCAATAGTATTGCGTTGCCTCGCAAAAACTTTTGCGTTCCCTCGCAAAAGTAGTTCATCACTGTTGTGCCTGCCGGTTTATTAACAAACTCACATGTTCACCATTAGCGAGTTAGCCTACTGCTTTAATTCAGCTTCAGAATGAATATATCACACAGCCACGCATGGAAGTATGTCATGTGCCGATATTTTAACACAGCACAGCTACGCAACATCAATGTCAATTTCACGAACTTGTGGCGACACATCCTGTTTTGGTAACCAGATATTTCAAAATAAAAGTCTGATTTAATTCAGTTCATATACAAAACAATCTTTTGCGTGGGAACGCAAAACAATATTGCGTGGGAACGCAAAAGTATTGCGAGGGAATGCAAAGGTATTGCGTCGGAACGCAAAAGGAAAATAAATCCCCCCAGGTCCCCTCGCAAGCTCCGTAGTAATCCACAGAAAAGTTGCAAATAAAAAGGAGAAACATGCCTCCCTTTTGGTTCTCACAGCCCTGCCTGGGAATTTCAGGTTTAGGGCTAAAGTGACCTTTGTGTTCATTAGTGTCATCATGTCATGTTGGTGTGTCACTACTMTTAAAAACATCAAAGTCAGGACACAGGGACCAGTAACTACGACCTTTTGTCAGGTGAAATTAGTGGTTCTGTCAATCGAGTGTGGTGGCTTTAAAAAAAGACTCTAAAACTTCAACCTCCTGTTAGAAATGGCTGAAGGCAAGATAAAGTCAAGGGGATGCTTTCAATATACTGCACACTAAGAGCAAACTGACCCTGATATGAAGTTTGAGAGAACAGAGAAAAGGTGATGAAGTTTAGAACTGAATATGAGGAAAAAGAAGCAAAACATTCTGCATCTAAACAGACAAACAGCAGGATTTATTTTCTTTTCAAGTCGTGAATGAYCTTAATGTTTGCGTCCACGAAACGTCCAGTTTAAATACGAGTTTCGTTCTAACAACAAACAAATAGCTAGACATTTTCAGCAGTCAATCATGAGGATTTTTTTAACACTCTGATATTACAGCCATGAACCGGTAACTCATTTGCTATATTTAAGCCACAGTGACTTTTAGAAATTATAAATTCTCAAAAGCAAAACTTCCCAGGATGCATTCAACGTGAGTAATGCAAAACTAGGATTTAGTTACATGTTTCCAGGATATGTGTTTAGTAATAATGCAGTTATTGTTGGTGACTCAAGTGTACAAAGGGAGACACTTGGCGTATGAGTCCTTTATCATTTTTAAACACAATGTGACTGTTAGACCTGCCCTTAGTGACCTGGATCCTGTTAGAAGTTATTTGACTTTTATTTCAGGAGAGGAAAAGATTAGTGAGATGGTTTTGTGTGTGTGTGTTACTTACAGTGCCAGGCCTGGTAAAATCAGTGCTTTGCACCGCACTTTGCCTCATTTGGCTGCTGAACAGGCGAACATACACACTCTGAAGGTACTCAGGTGAGATCTGCAGAGACACAACAAGCCTTTTGAGAAATGAAAACACCTTATATTGGAAGGAAAATGGTTATTTGTTTGTTTGGGTTTATTATGAATAATTAGAAATAGAAATGCCTATTTTGAAAAGTCATTGGGTTTCAGAAATTTTTATTATTGTTTGAATGTACACCTGATAAATCAGGGATGGGCAACTGGTGGCTTGCGAATGCTAAGTGGCCCTCTGGTAGTGTCAACAAAAAATTGTGACCCCTTCCATCATTTAAGTTGCCCATCCCTGTGTTAAAAGTGGGGGGGGGGGGGGGACAAAAAGAACATGCTTTTCTTTTTTCAATTAACTATTTATGTGGATGATGATCTGCTGTTCATAGTTTGTATTTTAGCTCAATGCCCTATAGTCAGCCTGGCTCACCATTTTTCCACTGACAGTGGCCTCCAAAGAGTCAACCAGTTCAGCAGTGATTCCGATTAGGTTGTGGTAATTGGCTTGCATCTTGTTAAATGTTCGCACGTAGCTGGTGATGCGTCGTTCTGATTCAGCAAGCTGAATCTGTAACTGCTGCATGTCCTCTGTGCATTTGCAGAAAAACAAGTCAGAACAAAGTCGCAAAAAAAAACAACAACACCATTTCAATATCAGGTTAGTTTGGTCCATTTTAAGTGAATACGGAATTCATATTTTGTATTTAAACTCCATATTTAAAGAAATGTTCAGCAATTATTTACCTTTCCTAATCTCTTTTGGCAGTCTTTTGAGGCAGTGGTGGAACTTTTACAGACAGCTAATCTTTGGCAAAGCTTCAAATAATATTCGCTTTCCACACCACAATCCTTAGTCAAACATAACCTTGGCGGGCATGGTCACAGAAGCTTTTGATGTTATAGAATGAACAGCAAGACACACAAATCCCCGAACCACTGAATATCATTACCAATCTTGACATAAAAACATTATGTGCAGTATTTTTAAATTAGAAATTGAGAATTTATATACTGTATATTTATATACACTCACCGGCCACTTTATTAGGTACACC